GAGCTTACCTTCCCTTAATTTAGCGGGTGTTGAGACCAGTGTGGTTTTCGCCAAGTTCCATTGGAGGCCGTAGGCAGCGAAGTGACGAAGGATCCAAGGTAATGATTGCTGTAAGGCACGCCAGGTTTTGAACCTCAGAAGACAGTCATCAATGTACACCCAGGCATCAATGAGATCGGGGAATTCTCGCGCCCATTGTTGGTGAAGACCCTTGAAAAGATGCTCAAGAACAGCAGCAAAAGCTTGTGAGGAATGTGTACCACCTTGAAGCACTCCACGTTCAAGCGGTATGTGAGTTACAGATCCTTGCCATGTCAACAAAACTCGATAATTTTGGACTTCACGTAGCAAAGCTTCCAGTTCGGAATGACGCTCAACCGGAGTGAGGGCATAAAGAGCACGACGCATCGCATTCCACGATACTGAGTCGAAGGCACCCTCAACATCAGCAGATACCCAAATGTGCTCATCCTCAGCAAGGGCTTCCCGATTAAGCTTGTTGGTGGCCACAAAGAGGGAATCCAAGAATTGTGTTCCTTTATAGCCACCAAATTGATGCTTTGGCGGCTGCCAGGATGCTTGCAAACGAGTGACGAGTAAGGACATGTACAGTTTGTGCATTGACTCCATCATCGACAGTGGGCGCAACGATTTGGGACCACTTACCTGTGAGACTTTGGGGGCCAACATCATGATCGCAAGCCTCTGGTCTGGTAATGCACCTTTGGAAAGCATGGCGTTGAGAATGCATACCACATCTTGCAATCCCTGTGGGGTAAGGGTGTAGACCTTTATGAAGTCAGCAGATAGCCCAGAAAGTCCAGCAGTGCGCTGAGATTTCAATGCATGTATACGGCACACTACCTCCTCCTGCGTGAAAGGCTGGGCGGCAGTCTGGATAATTGGCCCATCAGCATCTGTTGACTGTGAGGAAGGTCCAGCATCAGAGGGGAGTGAAGTGGCACCAAATTTAGTCTTGATGTGTGAAACGACTGCTTCATCAAAACTCTGTTTGCTACCATACACAGAGTAAGCCACATCAAAGACAGTTTTAGGCTTCTCAATAGATAAGGACCTACGCACAGCAGTATAGTCGTTGGCCGCAGCAGTTCGAAGTAGCTGTTGACACCAGTTGTCCCGCTCCAGTCTACGATGCGCAAGTATCATCTTGGAGAGACAAGCACGCTGTGCAGGGTCAACGCAGGATCTCCTTTGTGAGCAAAGGCTTTTCAGAAAGGCCGAGTCTTGGTATTTGTTGGAGGGCATGGGAAAGGAAGCTTGATGTGCAATCCGTAACATACATTGCCACTGTTGGGACAGATCATACTGCTCAATAGATCCTTTGAGAAAGTTATCTCTTTGAATAAGAGTCGGGTTCACCATCCACTTCTGGCATTGAAATCTACCCTTAGTCCAGGAACGACGCGAAGAAGGAGAAGCAGAATGGGGAAGAGGTAGTACAACCTCCCACAGCACCAACTCATGGTCCGATCCCAGCTCTTTTCCAGAATTGTGAATGGCCCGCGGACGGCTGTCAGGGCTGTCAGACTCTGAGGAACCAAGATTAAAGGCATCACCCTCGAGAGCTCCATAGGTGCCGAGTCTGAAGCTGGAGAAGTAGTCAAAAGTGCGTTGAGAATGTACCCCAAACCTTGTAGGACCTTGTGGAAGATGGAATTCAGCACCAAGCAAAGACATGGGCGTTGAACAAAGATCGAAGCGAAGCTGAGAAGGCTCTGCATTCCAGTCACCTCCCAATAACGTAACATAACGAGGATAATGCTGAATAAAGTTTGTAAGATCGTTCACGGCATGCAAGTAATTGTCGTCAGAAGCACCTGAATGAGGAAAATGAAGTGAAATCAAAAGCACATCAAGCCTAGTACTGAGATGTGTGAACCTGACTGCCAAATATCTCTTGCCCAGATGGACAGCCTGAATGTGATCCACAATAGCACCATCAATAGCAATCACTTGCGACAGATAAGACTCACAATCCCCAGCGAAGACTCGGAAGTGGGAAAGCTCGTGTGTGTTATCAAAAAGCACCTCCCTTGTACCAGGAGGTAGATCAATACCTTCATGAGGCTTCTGAGAGTCAAGTTCAGACCCAGATAGAAGCGCACCACCAACCTCTTGGAACATGAGCACTTCAGGATAATGATCCTCAAAGATCAGATCCACCCCTGAGGAGATAGTCTTGCCAGCGAGATTCCAAGTACACAGTTGAAGAGGTTGCAGTCTAGGTTGGGAAAAATGCGAATTTGGCATGCTTGGCTTGGCGGCTCACTGGGCACCAAAGAGGGATCGCTCAACCCTGTCCTCAGGTTCACCTGTGAGCGCGGAGATTGCAGAGAGGTTGAAGTGATAGAGCATCCCAGGTTGACTCTCATCCGTGGACAAGGCAATGATTCGAGAAGATGCGTTTGCCATGAGTTGGGATGGTTCGGCTGAGGCAGCACGTTTACAATCAAGCCAAATCAAGGCACGACCCCACTGTACCTCCAGCTCCAATGTGGAACCCAATGATTGGAGAAGTTGTTGAAGCTTATCCTGTGCTCTCATAGTTCGCCTGTTTCGAAGTCTGACCTCCTTGGGCTTACTGGCTGTGATCCACATGCATTTTGAAGTAGATGGTGCCGCGTGGAATTTGTCGTGGATCTGCTGCTTGATGAGCTGGAATCGCTGAATGCCTTCGTTCTGTGGCAGCACGGGAAGATGGATGTGGCAGGTGGAATTGCGACTACCAAAAACCACCCATTCAGTAGGCTGCACAGGAGGCTGGAGCTTTTCAAAGATCATCTTGGCATTGTGTATAATGATGTCCCGTTTGGTCCCATCATCCCATCCTCCTGCGATGAGGTGATTATAGTTCGTGATCATGGAAGATTGCCCACTGGAAGGTCTGCTATCCGGAGAAGCGCCAGTCGGACCATGCTCGGAGTGGTTGACAGGCGCTTGCATAGGTGGTGGCACCGATCTGTAGGATGCAATGGCGGGCGGAGCATTGGAGGCGCCAGCCTGTTGCTGTACCTGTTGAATCATCCCTTCTAACTTGCGGAAACGTTCCTCCACCTCATTCGGAATTGGACATTTTTCCAGACGAGTCAAGCGTTCATGGAATCCCATGATCAAACCACAACAGCGATCCATCTTATTGTCCAAGGAGCTCATAAAGGCAAGAGCCCACTCTGGAGCACCAGATTGTACTAATGCAGACCTCTCAGCAGACGTCTGAAGATCCGCAATTTCAGGGACTAGTTCAAGATCATCCTCTTCGTGGTCCCTCTGGGTTTTAAGCCTCTTGCTGTCTGGACTTGCAACAGGAGACGAAGGAAGTGCAGGAAGTGCCCCCCCACTACCCAATGAAGCCATAGCGAGAGCCCAGAGAAGAGAAGAAGGGATCCAGTGGTAAGGAGTCCAAGCCGACTTGAGCCGTAGCCTTGAGCCGTAGAGCACCTTGAGCCATAACGATCCCCTGTAAACAGGATTCGAACTAAAATACGAGCCCGCCACAGGAGCCGCATCCCCGACAAAGCTGTCCCATGCGCGCCGCGCGGATGCTAACCCATTCTCTGCACCATCGTTACAACTAGAACCCCGTAGTATGTAGTAAGCTGCCTGGGAAATGAACAGACAAAAGAAGGTGCGAAGTACCGCCCGCGACCGTGTCAAAGAAGTATCGGAAGGCTGCCTTACCAGTCTGAGCATAGGCGCTCACTGGGGTCGACGTTTCCGTGGAGCCAAACCGGACCGGGCTGCATTCCCATAGAGGAGCCTGCCTGTCTTCGGTTCGGAAGCTTCTCGGCCCAGGCTTCGGGTCATTCGGGTCTTGGGCCGTACAGGGGTAGTTCTCTAGAGTAAAGCCCCTTTTAGGTCCCCAAAATACGAGGCCACCCTGATCAAAAGGACCCCAAGAGAGGCAATAGTTCGGAGAACTATCCACATAGTGGTTCATCGGTTGGGCGTGGTGGCACGCCTGATGCCACGTCAAGCTGCATGCAAGGCCGGCGACCCACAGGAGGCCCTTCGAGCGAATGATGCCATGAAGTCCAGCGGTAATGAACTGATCCAGCCGCTCGGGATCGAAAGGCCTCTGAGCTCGAAACACGAAGCTGGAGATGCCGTATTCCTGGCTCTCTGGCACATGACCCCCCTCCAATTCCTGGAACCACCCAGGCATCTCCTGAGCCTCAGCCATGTCGAAGCTGCCCGTGTTGAACAAGAGATCGAGATCCACTTTCGCATACGAGGATCGGACAATCCGCGCCTTCGGGTTCAGCTGCCGAAGAAGTGTCTCCATTTGCATGGTTTCTTTCTCGGAGATGAGGTCAATCTTATTCAGCACGATGATGTTGGAGCACTCCACTTGGTCGATAAGGAGTTGCGAAATAGTTCGCCTTGGGTGAGCAAATGTTTGCAATGCGAGCTTCGATTTCTAGTTCACCTGGGAAAATCCCACACGGAAATCCAGTACTGTAATTTTGTGGTGGAATCCTGTCCCTCATGGGCCAGGTCACTGGTCCGACTCCTCAGCACCCAAGACAGGCCTGTCTGCGAGCTTCTGGCCCATATCGTAGTCCTTCAAAAAGTTCACCGCATCCACCACTGTGACCAGGGTATCCAAACGAGCAACGCTGCCCAGGAGCTTTTTGCCTTCATGCTCGCTCACGAATGTGGTCGCCACAGGCATAGGCTCGGAGATACCTGTGCTCCTGGACGCTGCTTGGGCTCAAGCATGGCCCGAGAACGAATGGCCCCAGCTGCTACAGGCTTTGCTATGCTATGCTCCCGCATGACGAAAAATCATTATTGCATCCCGAAAAGCTTGATCCAACCAATGCTTAGACGCTCGATGACCAGGTAGTCAAAGCGTCCCTCCGCGGCCAGCTTAGCCACGTTCTCGATTAGATCTTCTCGGAGCGTGCAGCAAATGCAACCATTCTGCATCTCAACCATCTTGTCCTTGCTTTTCAAAACTTCGGCGCCGGTCTTGACCAGTGTGGCATCGATGTTGACCTCCGCCATGTCATTGACAATCACGGCCACGCGGAGACCCTCCTGATTTTGCAGCATATGTGTGAGCAGGGTCGTCTTGCCGGCACCCAAGAAACCGCTGAGAACAGTGACCGGGAGAAGCCCGGAAGTCCCTTGGTCTTTCTTTTGCTCCTCCGCTTCCTCTGCTTCCGCATCTCCAAAATCCATCTTCACAAACTCTTGCAGCTCATCTCGAGTGAGGCGGTCCAGGGTGATAAGAAGCCGAGCTGGCTCCAAACCGACGTCGGTGGAGTATGGGGCTCGATGCAAACAAGGCCGATGCGTGAGTCGGCCTCCTTTCATGATCGACACGTCGCCTGGCTCGGTTGCCAGCTCACTCCTGCAGACGCGCTGGTTCCAAGCTTGGATGCGACCCTGCGCATGTCCCGGTGCATCTGCTTCGCCAACAGATGAAATAACACCGTTACAGGACTCATAGAAATCCCAATCGACTGCTATGTTGTCGGCTAGAACTGTGCCGTCGCCAGCAAGCGTCATGGCAAAGCGAACCTCAACAAGATCATCGTGAAACTTGGTACACGCACCGTTCTCATTCACTTCGATTTTGACCTTCCACCACAGGTCTGTATCGCTACCTTTCTCAGCCTTCGTACAAGCTTCATGCAGCTGCATGAGTTGATGCAGCAACTCCAGCAGCCGCCGCACCGAAGCGGCGCTCCCTTTGGCGATCGCAGACTCAGCTTCAACCTCTCCTTGCTCCAAGAGCGCCTGTCCAGACTCCTCGAAATCCTGAATGCTTGTCTTTAGTAATACGGTTTACCTATTCTGACATGCGAACTTGAAGTTGAAGGAACCGAGAGTCCTCCGCGAGCTGCCGCTGCAGCTGCTGATGAAAGGACTCGCCAGCCTTTTTCTGGTAGCCCTCGTAGTAACACAGCGAGTCCTTCACCAAATCGCCCATGCTGCAGTACTCCTGGATGTGCCGAGGCGAAAGTTGCGACTTGGGTTTCTACATCTTGATGTGCAGTCTTTTGGGAAGCCGGGAGGCAAGGCTGTGCGAGCAAGAGCAACGCTCTTGCAGTAGGAGTTTGCCACCATCAGAAGCCCTAAATGACAGCCCACTGCGGAGCAGAGGCCCAAATCAACATACCAGGCTTGCAAAATGTACTGGCAGGACTCCGGAGCACGATGCGTCCACAAGGCTTCCCCTCATCTGCTGGCATTTACACCAATATAATGGACCCGCCTTTGTGGGGGACAATGCCCGATGGATCCTGAACATCCCGTCTCGAGCCTCGTGCGAACACTCGCCAGTAGAGTACTTCAATACCCTAATCCCTACGTCGCAACACCTTATGCTACTGCAGAACCTCTGTACCAAAAGCTGAAACAATGGCCGTGCCTATGAACCTGCAGCCGTCTGGGCAGTACTTTCTCCTCTCAGCTTCCTGAAGCCGCAATACTCAAAGCCTTCTAAACCTTAAAGTCTTAAAGCTTCTACCGATTCTACCACATTAAATCCTGAACCCGTGTACTGAAGTTGCAAAAAAAACACACACCTAAACCCTCAAACCCTGTCTGAAACTCTAAAGTCCTACATTCAACTCTAAACCCTCCCAGACTCCTTTGCCCATTCCAAGAGCTCTCTATCGCCACAGACGTGACTCACAAAATCCTTCAGGATGATACCATTCCTGGAAGTCTCGGTCGGGAACAACGCCTATCCGCCCCTCGCCCTGAAGAAAAGCTCGGGGTTGTAGGGATAGTGCTGAGAACTTGGGGGTTTGGGGCTTGAAATCTTTTCAGGTTTGGGGTGCCTTAGGCCTTGACTCGCGGTTTCGGGCTGGGGGGCTTGGCTCAGGAAGGGCAAACGCAGATCTCAGGGGTCGGTCTGCCTGCCTTTAGCACTGTGGCTTCTGTTTGAGCAAACCGCGTTCCGAAGCCCGAAACAGGATTGCTCAAGACTCCTGTCTCCACGCCGAAAGGGCTTTGTCAAGCAGTCAGCGTCGCTTGCCGGTCCTACTTGCACGCGATCCATCCGCCGGACATGCAAACGAGGCTCCAATATGGAAGCTTCAGAAGCCTACGTAGTTATAATGGCCCCTTGATCAGGTACCCATAGCTTGGAGAACCCCCGACCCATCCTCGAAGTAAGAATGCTAAGTCGCCGAAACATAAGCAATGAATCCTTTTCAGGGTCTAGTTCGGTTTAAAGGATATCTCGTGTGAAGCATATATTGGAGCCACCACAGGGAGGCGCAGTGGGAGCCAATGGAGCCTCCGAAAAGGCGACATGAAGCAAACCTCCACTGATGCAGATCTCAGCTCGAACCCTATCGGGTTGAAGACTTTGGCTGTAGGAGGCTTCGGGTTACGCGAGCGCTGAAGGGTTTCTAAACTAACACGATTATGCAGCAAATCTTGCGGTCATCATCAACACTTTAAAAGGCCATACTTCGTGACACGAGGCTGTCTCGCCAACAGGGAGTATTTACACTCGCCAGTTTGAACCATACGTTCATTTCCGGCATTCAATGCTGCGGCTATCGCCAACCTGGCTTATCATCCGGGGGAGGTTTAAACTCTCGGGACTCGGGGCTCTTAGGCTTTTAGGTTCCGGTTTGCGGCGCTGAGTTCGGGGTTTGGAATTTCGAGCGCGTGGTTTCAACACTTCACCGCATGGAAACTTTCTCCGAAACAGTGCCCTCTCAAGTTTCTGAGCCCGGGGCGTCCAAGGCATCGGTCCCTGCCGAAGAGAAGCGCCTGAGAGCTATGGTGTGTTTTGGAGGACTTCAGGGAGTGCTTTACGGCATTGCGTATCTTGTCAGATATTGAAAGCTTTACACGTATAGGTGTAAGGCTCCACGGTTTCAGGTTTGAGGACTTCCGGTTGTAAAGTTTGGGGTCTTCCGGTTGGCTGACTACAAATTGGGCTGTTTCGGGTGTGGATAATTTCTGGTCTGAAGGACATCAGGGCTTTAGGCCTCTCGTGCGACTTTGCTGCTACTGCCGACCCTGTCCTGTGCTTGTCGAAACAATCGGCTAGAGACCGCAAGCCTAAGCCTGGTCGCGGAACCGCCCTCCTGCGGCCCATTCAGCCACACTGGTTTAATCAACCCCGTGTAGATGAAACCTTGCAAAGCTTAGACTTCAGCGTCCCACACACAAGGGCCTAGGCCAGCTTCGTTTACCGGTTGAAGGATGCTCTGCTGAAGTGTTCCTGCCATGGGGAACTGTGCGGCAAAGCTCCCAGAAACCGTCCTGGCCTGCCCAGAGGCCGAAAGGCATCGCGGCCGCAGTGCCGCAAGGCAGCGGCAGCTTGCCTCTTCAGGGTGGGGTGCAGGCTTTGGGATGCTTTTTCGGATCTAGGTGTCTGAAAGAAGGGGGTGAGGTGCTGCTTTCGGTGCCTCGTACCCTCAACTGAAAGAATCCGCTCCCACCAGCTCTCCAATCTCGCCTTGACCGTATCGGATTGGAGGTTCTTGCGCTGTCTGACTGCACTTTGGTTTCGCTTCGGGCCTGTTGCATCAACAAAACACACATCTCAGTGGATTTTGAGCGGGTGTGCATGCAGGCTGCAGATCGAGGAAGGTGACCAACTTCGGCCACAGTCTTGGCATGTGGCATGCAAGGTAAGAAGGCTTGGATAGCAAGTTGCGGGGTGACCTTTGTTTGCGGCAGAAGGCTTTGCAATCTGCTTGCTGCAAAAGAGGAGGGGGGAGGGGGGGCAAAGGAGGCCGACCTCTCTGAAGCTTGAAGGAATGCGGGATGCGGGGCAGCTGCCAGCCGGTACGATCACGCTCGCTCAGATTCGAGTTTAGCCTAACGAGACGAAAAGACCACAGCTTCAACGCACAAAATTGACTCGCTGTCTTATTTTACAGGGAGTGTAAGGAGTGTTTGAAGGCTTTCAGGCTTTTGAGGGTCTGAAGGCCAGGGCTAGTTCAGGAAGCTTGGTGTCTTCGGTGCGGCCTCTGATGTACCACCCTAAATCCCCCAAGCACAAAGTTCCAGAGCCGTAGAAAATCTGGAGCCGACGGTCAAGAAGACGAATCCTTAAACCCGAGACAAGGCCGGACCTCAAACTTCACCTTCAACGACTCTGTTAGCTAGCCTGAAGAACCCCAACACCCACGGTAAAGGACATCGGGTCCCGCCCAAAGCCCCCAAAGCCAAAACTCCTGACCCGAAGCCTCCAAGCCAAAACCCTTAGCCTTTCCAAGACCATGTACACCTTTAAACTCCAAGCTATTACTCTGGCAGCGGCGCACCTCATGTCTTCACTGCGGCCGATGCAATGGAGCTCTGGCGATGTCCTAGAAAGCCCCAGGAGGCCTCGAATTCTTGTAGCTTGTATTTCCACCTGCGAAACAGCGCATGCCATTTGTTAAAAAAGACTTCACACCATCTCGTAGAAGTGTCGTAAAGAATTGATTATTTCTCCATGTATGACAATACATGAGGACGACAGCGTTGAATTATCGGGTTGCTTGAAGAACACCCCCTTCTCTCCAAAGCTTCTAGGTTTCCAGAATGCTGGGGCCTGAGACACAGCTGCGGGTACCTTTCCGCCTGGACAAACCTTCGAAGTTCAGGAAAGCAGAGCCGACACAAGCTGCAAGTGGTATTATCCCTATGATCCTGACAGAAGACGCCCCTGATGCTAAGACTGCTAAGAACCACCGAAATACGAGTCCCAGCACTCGCGGCGCAATGCTTGAATTCGTGTGAAAGGCATGGAGCCCTCAGCCCTAACTTTTTTTGCTACATTCTTGAGAAAAGTGCAGGCGGCCATCGTCACGCAAGGTAGCAAGATGTAGTCGGGAACTGAAGTCTCGACGGCAATATCTGCTGCCGTGCATCCGCGAGAATTCTCAAGTCCGTGCGGGCACCAGCTGCAAGCAACATGGATGCCGCATGCTCAAGCCTGAAAGCCAAATGCCTAGGGAGCTGAAGAAGGGCATACCCTGCTGGTGGTCCACATCGGCACCCGGCGCCACCCTCGCCATGACGCATGGCAGCATGCAGTGCTGCATCCATGTCTTGCCGGGGAGTGCCTTGTAGCAGCTCCCTCATGGCTTCCAAATGTCCTGCAGCACTGGCCATGATGAAAAGTGCATAGCCGATCACATTCCTCTCTGTCGGATCACAACTGGCGGCAACCAGAAACTTGATTCCCTTCACATTGTTGGACGAGGCGGCCCAGAGGAGTGCAGTGGCCCCGTGGCCGTCTTTTGCACCGACATCGGCCCGGTTCGCATGGAGCACCTTGATGGCACTGTTGTTCAACGTAGCACAAATGTGAAGTATCGGGGTGTCTGGCGCGAATTGGCACATCGGTCCTCTTTCTTGATCTTGTCATTCACGTCTGCCCGCTGTTCTAGAAGCATGGTGGTCACCATGGGATTGCCATCAAGCGCCGCATAGCAGATTGGTGTGACACAAACCTTGAATTTCCCTGGGATCCGTTGAACTGCTCTGGGGAGCCCGCCGCCATCAGCTCTTTATGCGGCCGAAGCTCAGTCTTAACCATCAGGAAATGTACCGGAACTACGCGCCTGGATCAAAAGCTGGGTGTACGTTGGAAAAAAGCAGACCTCAGGGTTTCAAGGGCTAGGGATCCGATGTCATGCTACTGGCCGTGCAGGACATACTATTTCTACTCTAGAGCAGAATTGAGTAGAACAGAATCTACTATGACCAACATGACACTTTTTTTTGGTCTATGCTGCTGCAGGATTGCTCCGAACACGAAGAACAATGCTATTCTATACGTCTTCCTCATGCTAGCGGGAGAAAGTGTACACAAAAGTTGAGTCTCCGAAAGCATGCCGCATTCCTATATCGTCCCATGAAAGGCAAAGGTCACGAAAACTTAAGTCAATCTCAGCTACTGGACTGGCCAACGCAAAGAAGCATACAAGATCCAACAAGGTCAAGCCAGGAACCCAAAAACAACCCGGAGCGCCATCAAGACCGAAAGCTGTGCGGCAGGAGGTTGAGGACGGTCAATCGACGATAGGAGGACTCGATGCGATCTTGTCGACCTCCCACATACCCCGGCTGTTTGAGACACTACTTGCCAGGTAGACCCCAAGACCCAGCATCATGTCATCATGAGCGTCCGTCGGCCTTGCCCCCCGTCCTCCAGCGCATTTTGAAAGCTGCTTGCTAGGAAGCCACCAGGAAGGCCCAAGATCCATCCGTCCTGCCTCCGCTTCTTCCCATGAGGTTTCGGTCGTCGTCGTCGTCGATCCTCGTCTTTGTTTTCGTATCATCGTCCTCCGTAGCCCGGCCACCCCGCCCATATGAACGCTCATGCTCCGTACACCCCGCCCATACCCTGCCCGTACCCCGTACGTATATCCCGGCCACCCGGCCCATACCACGCCCGTACCCTCCGTAGCCACATCGCCCCGCCCTTTGAACGCCGCCCTGCCCGCACCCTGCCGCCCATATCCCACGCGTACCCTCCGTGAACGCTCACCCCCGCTTAGAACCTAAACCAAAAACCCAACATCCGAGATGTTATTGGGAAAAAAGAAACTTTGACCGTGTGAGATGCTCTCCGCGAAATTGGCAGTTCTGCACTTTTCTGGAGGGGCACGGCAAATGCCGCTGTGCGGCTGTGCGTGGTCTGTACATCTAACGCTTCGGTGCTATCAAAAGTCTCTTTCTGTATAAAAGGACCAATTGGCAGGATCCGTTCCACTCCACCCCCTGGTCCTGAAGCTAGGAACATCCAAGCCCTACAGCCGCTTTCCATAAATCCTTCGCTGAGGATTTGTTGAGGACTGCTGCATATGAACAAAGGAACTTACGGGGTGAAACCCACTGGTACTTAGTTCCTAGATTCTTACATCAGCCATCAAAATCATTCTGAAGCCATCCCAAAATCTTCCCCAGGACAATCTCCTAAACGCCAGGCTAGACCCCCAGACCAAAATCCTAGCCCAAGGACCCCGCAACATCCTACAGGGCGCAGCTGCACTTGTCACGTACTGAGTCTTCTGAGCTGAGGCAGGCAAGGAGTGTCTGTGCAGGATCCGCCCTTTCTCCCAGTGTCGTCAGAGCCGGCCGCACATCAAGGACATAAGGACATAAGGGCTTACTAGAGTTTTTGGGAAGGATACAGAAGGATCTATGGGTTCTGGAGTGCCCGGCGGCTCGGGCCTCTTCTGCTTACTTGACTTAGGGGGCGTCTGGCGGCAAACGCCCACAACTATCTTATTAGATAGGATAAGACGTAAAGATCGTTGGCATCTACGAACCCGCTAGAGCTCAGCAGGGCTTCAGGCCCTGCAGCAGATGATCACTTTAGGGCCTTAGACCCTGAACTCAAACTTGAATGATAATCCATCCTATTGTCTTGGTGATCCAAACCCAACACCGCATGCCGTCCGCACAATGTTTATAAAGAAGTGCTGAAGTAAGCCTGAGCATAGATGCACCTGTGACCCGGTACCGTAAACCATCAGACTTTCCCTCTGTCAGCCGCTATTGCTCCGACGACAGCAAGCTAGCTGAATTAATCAAAAGCAGGGAAAAGCAGGGGAGACTTTTCCGCGAGTCCCGTTGCATCCAGACTTTTAAGATCTTTTGAGCCAATGTAATGAAACACCCCTCCATCCACCACAGTACATACAACCTGTGTAAGATACCCGACAGACACACCAATCAACTTGTGTTTTTCGAAACCTCCACCTACGCGGCCATCAGATGTACAAACAAACTTTCAACTTCCGCAGGGAGTGCTGAACCTTACGAATCGTCAAATTAACGTTCCCAGCATTGGTCCGAAGCGCTAAATCCAAGGCCAAACCGAGACTTGCTCTACTCCCCTTCGACCTACCATTTAACCCTTTACAAGCTGTGCGAATTAGATCACTTCCGTTGAGGGATCGGTGTCTGTGACATTGATGTCATAGAGCTTCTGCATGAACAATAGACCTTGTTGTGCTTGGGCGTTCACGAAGGCAATCTAATGCAAAACCCCATGTACAACCTTGTGAACGCAAAACATCACAAGGCTTCTGGTTAACGGTCCGAGTCCATGGGTAAGAGGTGGAGGCCTTGATACTTTCTTTCTAAGCCAGTTGGGGGCTTGACGCCCGACTAATCCTAAACCTCTGAAGCATGAACCGCGACGAACAAGTGCCCCATGCCGCCCAAAAGCCTCTACACCCGGTGGCGTTAGACCAGACTGGACCCCTCAGCCAGCCTGCCAGGTAACCCCTTACCATGCTACAACTTCGATGGGTGCCATGGAAAAAACACAGCAGAGGAAGCGTATGTCTGCACAGCTACTGCCACCCTCGAGAGCTACATGCTCAGCCCGAAGCCGTACCCGTATGGTAACTGTCACCAGGAAAGGCACGGTATGGTCGCAACCAGATTGAAAATGGAATAGCTGGTCTTTAATTGTAGCTACCAGCCGAGACTCCTTTGGCCACGGGTGTGCTCCCGGTGTCCAGAAGCCTGGGGACCTCTGCAGAGCGGAAGCGCAGCTTTGCTGGCAACTGTAAGCAAACAGCCATGACAGTAGCTGTGGAGAGCAATGGAAATTCTCGCCTGCAAGCAACACAAACGATGGTAATAGCCGTAGTAGCAGTAGCAACAGCAGCAGTTGAAGGAATTTTTAGGCTGTACGTAGAGGTTCCATTGATCTGGCAAGTTGACTGAGTATTTAGTTTTTGCATTTGCAGGCGCGCTCGAGGGTTGAAGGTCAAGGGGCAGTGATTCAAAGCTCCAAGCCGGATTCGGGAAGCCCTTTATTTGCCTAGAAGGACCAAGGTACTTATTCAAGAAGGAAACGACCGCGAAATAATAAGTGTACTTTCGCATTTAAGAACTTGGCTTCTCGAGGTAAACTCTAAGCCATTGGCACCAAGTCTAGTAAGCCGAAAACAGTGCCAACATGTGGTTGGGCACCTCATTCCGCCGGTTGAACCCGTTCTGGGGCAGACTCCACGAAGCCCCCAACAACCCAAGTTGAATACAGGAACAGGAGTCGTTCGTGATCGAATGCAGCATTACGAAACATTCTGTAACTGTCTCGTTGCGAGCAGGGAATGGCGGATGCTTATCGTAAAACATAGTTTGGTAGGGGAACTTGCGGAGATGGCATTCTGCTTCGGGCTTCGGCCCCTGTCTAATTACGGTTTCACCTCAGGGATTGCCGTTGAAACTCCGACCAACTTCTTGGCAACTAGGTAAGTTTTGACACTATAAGTGCCAGCCACAGCCACGAAACCATAGATGTCGTCGGCCAACACAGAAACCCTTTGCAGGGATCGTGCACGTTCGCGCTAGCGCTGTGGTGCGGTGCAATGTCATGATTGGCGCCTGAGGCGCAACAGATTCCCTTTAAATCGGGCTTCCTGACGTTGAGCTCAGCCTCTGTGCCAGAGGCTTCCCATGGAAAGCCTCGCCTGCTCCCGCCGACGTCCATGGTCTAGTGCGTTTGGTTGAGAACAGAGCATCAATGCCCAACACCTAATGATGTCCATGGTCTAGTGCATTTGAGAACAGAGCATCCATCGGGTCGATCAAGATGCTGCTGATGAACATGCTCCGCGACGGGCGTCGCACAAGCGGGGGGGAAGAGCTTCTAGTAGTAGTAGTAGTAGTAGTAGTAGTAGTGGTAGTGGTGATATGTGGTCTGGCCTTACTTGATGCTGTGTTTTCTGTGCATGCACGTGCAGAAACACACGGCAGGGACGGCACTTCAGCATTCAGGCATTGTTCCGGACCGACCGCCCTGACATGCTGGTTTTTTGGTTCGAGTGGTAGACTACACGTGTGACGTATTGCCTACAAGCCTTTCTCACCTACGTGACAGATTCGACCCCCACCAGCCCCAAGCCAAGCCAAGCCAAGCCAAGCCAAGCCAAACATTAGTATTGAAAATTTATTCCAAGGCCCTCACGGAAATGCCAGGCCCTCATGGGAATAGCAAGGCCCTCATGGGAATGGCAAGGTCCTCATGGGAGGCAACGCACTCAAAGGACAGGCAAGGCCATGCCATAGAAAGCACACTAATCATGTTAAGTATTGTTTACAAGCCCTTCTCACCTACATGAACCTGCCAAAATATCATGTTAAGTATTGCCTACAAGCCCTTCTCACCTACATGAACCATGCCATACAAAGCCAAATGATCATGTTAAGTATTGCCTAAAAGCCTTTCTTATGTGACAGATTCGACCCTTGCAACCCTTCCCCCCCCTCACCAGCCCCAAGCCCCCCCAAGCCAAGCCAACAATAAGTACTGAAAATTTATTCCAAGGCCCTCATGGGAATAGCAAGGCCCTCATGGGAAAGATAAGATGAAACAGTATAGTATGCATGTTCCCCTTCAACAAAACCCCGAAACGAAGGGACCCCAAGAAAGAGTATGGTCTCTATGTAGGGTGTATGCATAGTAGAGCTGATGTCTTCCGTTGCTGCTATTCCACAATTGACAGAACATAATGGTGCTGAAAAGGTTCAAGAAACTGGTTCCCCAAAATCACACCCTAAAAAACAGAGAGCAACTGCAGCCATTCATCATCAACAGGCATATCCTCACGAACATCGTTAGCCACGAAAGCAGGAAAAGCTCGGAAATAACGGCAGAGGAAGGGGTTGGTGGAAAGGTAGAGGTATTTGCTCTTGCGACTTGAAGAAGATAGGTCCTCACATAAACAGCAGAAAAAAACTAAGCCAAAACTGCCTCAAGAAGAAGCCTGATTTTTGCAGAAGCATACGTGCTGCAGGTCATCGTAAACAGCATCATGTTTGCTATAAGAGTACAAAGCGAAAGCAGGCAAATACTGTAAATACCAGTAGATCAGGGGCCTCGTGCGAGGATGCGTGGTATGTGTATTCGTCTCGTGAAAACGAACGAAAATATGCGTGGAGATGTTGTTATGACTGAATTTGAAGTCGTTAAGGCGCCCGGGTCCACATGGTATGTGTTCAAAGAGCTAAAGCCGTAGAAATAAGGAAATACTGCAAATACCAGCACATTCAGGCCCTCAAAGTAAGTAGCGCAAGCCAAAAGTAGAGGAAAAGCATGGCGTCAAATAAGGCCAAACCCCGTCGTAGTAGTAGTAGTAGTAGTAGTAGCAGCAGTAGTAGTAATAGCAGTAGCAGGAGCAGTAGCAGTAGCAGTAGTAGTAGTAGTAGTAGTCGTCGTCGTAGTAGTAGTAGTAGTAGGTAGTAGTAGGTAGTAGTAGGTAGTAGTACGTAGTAGTAGTCGTAGTAGTAGT